GTCATTTCCATCGAAAAAGAAATGACTACAAAATACCTTTATGTCACATTAATTTATATAAATTCTTATTTTTTCTTGTTACTATGATACGAGGTTCTGTATTATAAGCCTAACATAAACAATTCAACATTTATATTTCAATAATATAGTCTATCATAACAAAGATTTTTTTTTTAGATTAGTATCTTCTAAAAATCACACACTTGAAACAAATATAAAATTTACGTAACATATATTCTGATACATAATCATTGTACACACATAAGTAGCTCATATCTGTATTACATCGAGGCCATTATCCCCGAATAATCCAACAAGGCTGTCAGAGGTGCAGATAAAGAATTATCGATAATGACAACCCAGGTCACAGTAGACGCCACATGCAAACAATATGTGTTCAAGCGTAAACGAAAACAACCAGCTGTCCAAACGTGGACTACTGTACTGGTACTAGTCTGTGGCACGTGTTAGGGCTGTGATACGACAGCTGATAAGCTTATCGACGATATTGGATGGTATTATTGATTCGCTGATAATTCAACACTTTCTAAAGAGTAGTACTGATTTTTATTTGACCGTTTTTAGTTTGGTTAATGTTTTACGATGCCTATAAATGTTGTATTTGGGTATACAAGTTTTTATGTTACCATTGTAATGTTATTACCTACTCGAAAGGATCGTTTCCAATTAAATCTTAATATACTATACAAACGACTGCCAGTAAAAGTTCTTTTATAATTATTTATTTTATTTCAAACTCCCCACAGTAGTTAATTCAAGGGAACATTATGCTAATTAATTTACAAAGATAGTAATACATTTAAACCACTATTCACTTTCAATTTTTCCAATTATATGGAAGCTTTCCATTTTTATTTTACGTAGCTATAATTTATTTAAATATCTTCTTTTAATTAATTATATTGCTCAGCTTGCGACTACGCAGATTGTGTTGATATTTTATTCATACACACAGATTCTAAAAAGGTTTAATTTCCAAAGCGATGAGATTCTGAGTTAAATAATAAACATCAAATAAAAGCTCTATTTTAAAAAATACGTAAAATAGAACTTTTGTTTGATGTTTTATGAACTTGACAAATATTTTTTGTCTTAAACTTTATTGAAAAGCAAAAGGATTTATATGCATACAGCCAGCCAACTTGCGAGATTGTTTACTTTAAACAGAGGTTATTTTAGCCCTGTAAGGTCACGTGATAAGTAAGATAGTTAAGACGTCACAATTTCGAGGTTATTTTGTCCACAGATACCAAAAAATATGAAATAAACGAACTTATTTTAGCCCTCCAGGTCACGTGATAGCTAAGGTTTATATTTTTAAAATAGATAACAAGAAAGGTTTTTTTTTCAATCTTCCTACTTTTGTATGTAATAAACATATATCATTAGATTTTTTTCAAAAGAAAACGGAACTTTAATTTTTATGTAATTTTTTTTATTTATTATATAGATAGTAATAAGTGCTTCTAAAATTTAAATTAATTTGGTTTTAGATTCTATTATTGAGCATTATAAATTTAAGTTACATTTATATTGTTATATCTTACAACTGCTGGTCAGGTTATTAAGATAGATTCAGATACCACAACACCAAGACCCAAGACAATATAGAAAAATTCAATTTCTATTTTGACTCGACCGAGAATCGAACGCGGGACATCAGAGATGGTGACACCTTGAAAATGAACTTTTCTATATTGACTCGGGTCTGGGTGTCGTGGTACCCTCGTTGTCTCAGATACTCCATAATACGGGGGCTTTAGCTACTCATCTTGGAATCTGAGCAATGTAAGTGATGTTGTTAAATATTTATATCTCTGAGACACTGGCTCCATAAACATCGAAGCGTTATTATATGCAGATGGGGTCGCGACATTAGTTTCGCCATATTAATCGTTGTGTGACACTACCTTTATCAATAATATGCAAATGACACGAAATTACTCAAGTGTCGTGATAGTTTCATGCATGCATTGTAAAAGTAGACACGTGTTTACACGTGAAGTCAGCCAAATTAATGCAATGGAACTAATGCCATGCAACTAGTTTTGTAATGTAAATTCGGCCTAAGTGTGTGCATAGCTGGTAATTCTTAAACGGTTTCAAACACGGGAGTTTCAACACCCAGTGATACCATTTGGTCCTTTGGAGGGCTAGCTTTTTTTTCAGCCGACAATTAAATGATTTAGCAATTATTAGTACATTTTTTGGCCCCAAAATCTTGTGAAACAAATACACAAAAATACAAAACTTTTCAAAGCTAAACGCATTTAATCTGGCTTCATCAACATAAGTCCTGCCAACACTTCAATTCCGATCTCGGAAATTTGCCCGAAAATCGAAATACCGTTTTGTCTTTGAATTGATATTCATATAAACTCCCAATAAATTTTGAGAAATTCTGTGAGTTCTATCCGAGGAACAATATCTATATAGTGATAAGTTAACACGGTGTTCCAAAACTAATATTACATTAAATTCAGTTATTTTCATCAAAATAGGAATTAGGACCTTTTTGAATATTGACCTCTTTGAATTATTATTTAGCCCCAGAACTTGTCACAAAACTGACGCCACCCATCACCTCTTCGGACACAGAGACACAGTCATTAGTCATAATATACCACTCTAAGAGGTTTAAACAGAATTTACGCACTTTTATCTGACACTATCGAATCTCACTTTGACATCGACTTTTGCATCGTATTTATACACTCATAGTCCGATCAGCATTAAAGATTACAGTAACAACAATGTAATTTATAATAGAATCTACTTCTATAATATGTTCCAGTAACGGAAACGTGGTCGCACGACAGTAAATGTACGCACACACATGCACTAACTTGCATAAACAATTGATTCGCGAAGGTGAACGGTGGCCGATAAGTTACATCAACTAGATGTGGCACGAGCGTACTTAAGAGACCATTTACATAAAGCCAGTAAGCAAGTGCAGTAAAATTAGAAACCGTTATATTTCATTTGACTGGTTTGAATAATTATCGCCATTTTCAGTATTTCATTTGATTTTATAAATTACCCCATATTTTGTGCCATGTAATAGCAACATTTAAAGACTAGACAGTAATATTTATTTTTTCCAAATATATTTAATTATATGTAAATTGTCTATAATACAAGGAAATTTACTATCTTAAGGTGAACGCACATTGTATCCGCAAGCACGAAACTGACGCACGAATACGCAACGAATTTTCCATAACTTTATGTATGAGTTTGTACCCATCCACCATTTGTACTGGCTGCACCGACCGCGCGCATTATATGATAAAGCGAATGATATTGTGCCGATGACGTCATACGGATTACTTCCATAGAGGTAATATGCAAGACTTCATAGAATTATGTCAAAACTATCAAATGATACTTCTATTAAATATCCGGGTGCAGTAGACGTATGACATCGGCAAATCCATGGCGTACCGTGGTGCGTTCGTTAATAAGTGCGTTCATAGAGGTCGTTCACCTTCTATTATTTATTAAAACCATCTGAAATGAAACTCCGAAACCATATATGACGCTAAAAAATCACTTCAAGAATACATAGTTACCGTTAATTACAATAATATAACAAGACAAAACAACACTCACCATTGATTTATATTTCAAATTATGTTTTAATATTCTGTCTCGTGAGTAAGTATATTTAATAAAATCAATAATCAAATAAAAGGAAATAAACATTTAAGTTGTTATCATCGTATTTCTAAGTTCATTAATTACAAATATTTTCTTTTTACAATTTCAGTGGAGATTATTAAAATATGTACACAAATGACTGGTTTTGTTAATCGGATATATCTACCGCATCTATATTAACTTTAACTCACGTCTAGTAAAGTAATACAGGCCAATGCAACAGCCCACATGCGAACAGCAGCGCGATTAGGAAGTTGCGCCCACGCAACCTCTCCTTATATGGCCCGTGAAATCAATAACTAATATTATACAAACGTTTGAATTGTAAATGACATCAACAAGTGCACTTATATGCGTTTTATTAAACAAAACAATCTATATAACGACATGAAGGCGAAAGATTTTCTTCTTTCGTCATGGGTTGTCTTTATGTGGAGAACAGCAGGCGATAAGAAACAAAGATCAGTTTGCCACTTAATTGATACTTTAAGCATAACTTACACTTGCAAAATGAGACTGGATAAACTTTGACATAACGAAAGCGCTAATTGAGTTTTATTATGATTAAAAGTGTAATTGAATATAATAAAAATAAGTATTTAAAGTATACCCATTACCAATGGGTATACTTTGGATCTCAATATATCCTGAGTGCATATAAGGGGTATTTTATCGTCAGTTTAGCGAAATTTTTAATTTAATGATTTTACAAGTATTATTATAATAAATATTTTTGCTTCACATACGAATATGCAGAATTAGTTTAACAATATTACTGATTTATAACGTGTGCCAACCCTTGATGATAGGTCGTATGCGCAAGCGCAGTGTTTTTTCAACCGTCCCGTCACTCGATACTACTACTGCTTTTTTGCTTACGCCCGGTATATCAGGTTACACAACGCGATACTTCTGTACATCGTACAGTCAACAAGTACATTACAAGTCATACGATACATTGACATAGCCCGATTATGACAACATACATAATGCGGTCGCATAAAAATGTATTTTATAATTATGCGCGTAACGTATCGTCTTCAATGGCAAGGTTTTATATTCAAATCTGTGACACCGGATCTTATGATCTATGTTTTCAATGTCACTTGTAGTGGATACGAGAACTGTTTTAGTTATCAAAGCTTGTGGTTGTAATGTTATTAATTTGTTTGACTAATCTATACTAATAATATAAAAACAAAAGAATTGATTGTTTGTTTGCAATTGATAGGGTCCAGACCTACTGGATCGATTATAAAAATTCTTTCACTTACGGAAAGCTACCTATGTCATATGTGGGTGACATACAATACAATTTACATGGGCAAAGTCCTCTCTGCAAATTTGACGGAAGATTCGACAAGCGTCTTGAAGCGTCTCATGTAAGTATGCATTATGGGCAAAGTCCTCTCTGCAAATTTGACGGAAGATTCGACAAGCGTCTTGAAGCGTCTCATGTAAGTATGCATTATGGGCAAAGTCCTCTCTGCAAATTTGACGGAAGATTCGACAAGCGTCTTGAAGCGTCTCATGTAAGTATGCATTAGTATGTGACAATTCTACCGTCAAGTATACAAGCTTGAATGTCACATCATATAATTTGATGAAGTTCCTCGACTAACAATACGCATCTGCCGTCAGATATGCATTTACTCTTATATTTTTTCATATGTTTCATATTAAAAATAATAGCAGTATAAATAACTTTTATAACTCGATTCTCATTGTTTATGAGGTAACCTCAACAGTATATCTAGTTATACAAAACTGTTACTCTCCGATTTTAAACTTTAATACGTTATTTTTATAATTCAAATACGATTGTAAATATTAACATTCTGCCGTAAACTAATTATGTGGACTGCAGTATATATTTCAATATTTCTTGAAAATAAAACACACTTCATACAATTTTATTAGGGTTGACCCAGAATTAACACCTAGTTAATTTATAATAATAATAAAGTTAAAATAAATCTCCGTTACTTCCGTGAGATTATTAACTATAAACTTTTATACACGTGAACAATTTTATTCCTCATAAATTACCTAGTTAGTCACATACAATTAATTCTCGTGTATTTCGCCAGGGATACGGCATGAAAATATAGATAATTAGATTTCTTAGAAAACAAACAAGTGTGACTATTGTATTCTAAAGTGAAAATTTCAGATAATATTCTGTATTCTGTTAGATAATATTCTGTGAATGTTCTAATAACTATGCATACTTTTAATAATAGTTATTTCATATTGATGGTAATAATACCAACTGTTGCACATACTACATTTAGGTTTAGTCCTGTGTGTGTTTTTTTTGTGAAGTAAACTTATTAACGGTATACGGGAGTTATAATTATGTTTATTTCTTCATATAAACATTAAAACAGGCCTAAATGTATATTTTCATTTGTTTTGATATCGGTCATTGAATATATTGTAGCTTCTCCTAGGTAAAAGAATTAACATGACATGTATTTCAAAAGATCCTCTACAAACAAAGTTAGCTAATTTACCTCTTTAAAATATTAGTTTAGATCTTTTCATTACTTATCATGATAAAGACATGATTTTTTTTTTAATATCACATGTCTACATTTTAGAATTTCTATGATAAAGACATGTGACATACAAATCAAACAGAGGTAGTGGAAGCGTTACCTACGGTAAAATTGTCATTACTGATCAATAATATTGGAATACAGACCATAGATACTAAGAAACAGTAACGGAAGCAAAGACAAGAGCGTGTTGTTCTCTAAATATAGAACTGGCAACACATGGTACGTGCTGCCACTGGTGTAAGATTTTACGGGAAACTCATGTGTGTAAGCCCTAAGTTTGTTTCGAAAACTAATTCATATTTGAAAATAGAATTATTTTTTTTTTATTTTATTGATACGTACTAAGGAATACGCGCGTGACATAGGCTATAATTTACGCGGTGGAAGTCGCAAGAAAACAGCTAGGTAATAATTAATAATATTGAATTTAATGTTGAATACAGGCGTCTACTTATCTTGCCGTTTCATTGTTTTTTTATTAATTTTGCAAATACGTAACACAAACTGAAATTAAATTGAAAAAGCTCTGGTTATAGAAATCCGCATATTAGTCTGTGATACCTGTTATACAAGCTTTAACCGCAACGGAAATGACCCAACCATAGACTACCGACTTTTTACACATTTAAGTCAATGGCATCTCTATATTCAGTCTGGTAGCACCGTAACATAATCAGAATATACTTTTATGACGATCAAAATAAGTGTTTCAGAATATAAAAACACCAGTAAATCATACAAATCTGAATTATTATAGTAATATTTTGGCTATTATTGATGATGAATGGTGAACTTTATTGCCTATAGCAAACATGTTTATTTAAACAGAAAACATAAAAAATATATAGCAACAAATTTAACGGACGCACCAAATAAAAACGCTAATATACCTACAACAAACGACCATTGTACAATTTGAGGGACATTCAAAAAACGCGTGTAAAAATTTTGACACGAACCGAATCCAATTCACGATCGAACGGAAACTGTAATCGAGAACAAATCGAAACTCCAGAAAATTGTTCGTACAAAGAGTATTGTAATGGTATCACGTACGATAATCGATGCTATTATGACATACACGGGAGAATTGCGCCTAACTATAATCCAATATTTATCCCCGTGACTTCGGCGTTCAAGCCAGCATTGTATTCTTAACTTAGTGTGATTCTCTCGTGTGAAAGAGACGTAGATACTAAACTTTGGCGTTGTTTGCACTCGCCTCACACGACAGGTAAATTCGACGACAAAAGATGTGGGAGTTTGTTTATTAGAAATACCTGGACACAGGTAGACGTTCATTGTTGCATATCCCTATCGAATAATAGAATTTTCGGAAATAATACAATGAATGCGTAATTTATGTAGGTTGGAATACCATATTTCATATAAAACCTTTTCGGAAACATAGTACCTGTGCGGATGATTTTTTTTTTGGCGCCCCGTTCGCTTACCGACAATTTGTTGTTTTGGCTGCGTTTCGTTTCGGTGCGTGCGGTTCTATTTATTTGTTTTACGGCCAATTTGGCATGATAGAGACATGTCTACGTTGAGATAGTATCTTCGTTTATTTGTGGCGACGACTTTAAAGTTAATTGAGTGTTTGAATCATTAAGAAAAGGCGATGTTAATCTGCTGGATTGAACATAATGAGGTTTTTTACCGCGATGCCTTATGAATATTAAAATAGCTCGCCACAAATTCGGTGGCGTAAAAAATTATCCAGTTTTATGACATTTTTATTACCAGGTCTTATTAAATATTTTTTAAACACATATTGAAATGCATTACCATGCAAGCAGTGAACGTTGTTTTTTATTGTTTTTGTTATTTCAAATATGGAATATGCTCGTTCACAGTTCGGTAAATCTATAGAGGAATTTTATAATGGAAGGCGTTTCTCTATGATTTCCAGTAATGTTTGGAAGTGTGAAATCGTAAATACACAAACGGAATGCAAGCAGTAACTACAGGCAAACTTAATTTTGCGTTCACTTTTAATGTTAGAGACATTTATTTGTCAATCGTTAAGTTATATTTTCGTGTGCACTCTAATTTTTCAATGTGTAAACACTTCTGTAGGAAGAGGATATTGCGATTCGATATTATTGTGATCTCATTGAGCCTTATTCGAGTTCATGCACGGAAAATGCTTTGTTGTTATAATTCAATGCAGACCTACCTGAGCATGACACCTGCTGTTCCACTATGGTCGGCCATAGAGTATAAATCGGAGCGCCGCGTGAAGTCATTTTATAGGTTGGTAAGCCAGATTCTTGTCTAGGGTGGATTTATTAATTTTCGCTACACGATATTAAGAATAGAAGAAAAGTATTGTCAAAAATACCACACAGCAGGGTCGTTAAAATTTACTGTAAGAAATTATAAAAATGTGAGAGTAGCTGCTCTTTTACGATGAGACATAATCACAATAATCGAGCATATTTAACGAGTAATATAATATGAAATTATTTTATTTTATTATATTTAAGTACACTTGGTGAGTAAAAATGTGAATTAAAAGTAAAACCGGTAATATATTAAGCGCGTGTTATTTTTACTTTAGTAATTTAAAATTTAAAGTATATCAGCTTTTGAAAAAGCTTCTACAGCTTTACGAAAATTAAAAAGTTAATTAATAAACCGAATACACTCAAAGACGGAGAGTTATATAATAATATTAATTCTGAAAAAGAAAACAATTTTCTTGTCGGTTTATTTATGGTTATCGTTTTAAAAACATTTAATAGAATAAATCTAAATCTTCTGTTACTGATCTGCTTATAATGTATAATAATCTGTACCCGAGGCGCCGTTTGCTAAAAGGCGGGTTTTCAACTCAGTTCAACAGCAGATACTAATTATATAACAACATGTAAAATATTATATTAAGCTCAGACGTAACAAAATTATGTATTTCCGTAGTTTGTTGTCTATTGAATATTATTTATGTAAAAGTGACTAACCTCGCTCTCAGTCCAATCAATAAGACTAGACTTCTCTTCTAGAAGGTTCTCGGAACTTCTCTTCTCGTCCTCCCCGTCACCTTCGTCTTTGAACACTTTGACCTCGTCAGTGGAGCCCAGGTCATCACCCCCCGAGCTCGCAGCGGAGCTCGAGTGCGCATGCGGCATCTTCATGAACCTAAACCAACTCCCATTATCCCATCCTCTCTACTGTCCAAACTATCTGTCATCCATGACAGCACTACGCCCCCATACCGCACTAGAACTTCTCTCGACTCAAACTTGGTCCTTCGAGCCGGATGCCGAGTATAAACATTGATTTCGTTTTGTCTATTGTTTTGTTAAACTTACAACTACTAGGCGATTGTCTCCTAAACTAAATTGAGATCACAGATAACTTTTGTCAGGTGTAACTTAAAATGCTAATATTGAGGTGTTCCGTTTGAATGCGTGTCGGTATATATCTGAAAAGAAAGAAAACCAATTATTAATTGAAAGTTCGATAGATCGTATTTTCATGGGATTTAAGGTCAAAATTCGTTAGTCGCGAGACGGCGTCGTTTTAGGTCAAGCCGCTTTCAAGAGTACAGCAACAACCACTTTTGGCGCGACGCCAAGATATAGCATCTTTGGGTATATTTCACACAATACAAAAGACAAATTTATTATATATTTTTAAAGAAACCACTTAAACACGTATCTCGGAACGCTTCTTTACGTATACGAATCTCTAGCCGCTTTGAAAATAAAATTGAAATTTTAAGTGTCCTTCTGTAATGGACGTTATCGAAATAAAAAAGTCGAGACTATGAAGATCTCAACTAAGAAGAATTTACTGAAGTCAATCCTTGATGTGTTATCAGTATGAGCAAACTAATAGACATTTAGAAAATGCATGTAACAACAAATTACAACTTTAAATATAATGGAAATAGTTATTAAAATTTTTGTATCAAGCGTAAAGCATTTCCACCGATTGGATGAATATATTAATCCGGCGACATGCAATTTATGACTATTAACATTGATATATTGACAGGTGGTTTTCATTGAAACTTTTGTACTTAAATGTACAGCATACAAAGTGCGATCACAGTTACGTCGGCGTCTGTACTCGAGTTTAATCGCAGGATATGTTCGAGTCCTCTCGCGCATAGTTACTATGTAGAATGCATTTGTCATATCTGGTATGTCACTTAGGTGTGATCGCATGAATAATAGGGTGGCCGGCACGCCTGGCGAGAGTTATGCATGTCAATGATGTAGTCGCTATAAGCAGATCTAGAACTGGAAACAACGTTTTTGGAAATTGGAACGTAATTTCAAATTTCAAACTAAAATTTGATCTCTAGAAACACAGATATTTTTTACGAGTAAAAAACGATAACGGTGCCTTTTTATTAAAACAATAGGTAAGCAATGAGTTTTTATTTTTAAATCGGCATTGAAACTATTCAATGATCTTTAGAGCTTTTCCAAGAAATTCGACGTAGGTAAAGACGTTTTATTGCCTGCCAGTATTGTACCTATTGCGACGTTTAAGTTTATAAACTGATTCGCTTGAACTGTTATCGTTTATGTTGTCTATACTTCGAACAACAAAGTGTCTATGCCTATAAATGTTAAAAATTTGGTATTTCATGGGTAAATCTTTTAAATATCTATACATGTAAAATTCACTGCATAAAATAAACCAGGCTGGATTTATTTTATAGTGTTGTTTTTATCATTATTTTGTACAGAATTTACTATATATTTTTTTATTAATTGTCATAGATATTAAGTAAGGCTAATAGTTATTTGTTTTTCTTGTAAACAAGTTGTATACAGTTTCAAGATAACTTATTATTGGAACTCCAAGTTCGAGACCCAGTCGGGTCAATCAAATTCTCTTTTCTGGTCTGGGTATTGTGTTACCTTCGTTGTTTCAGTTTTCCGTAATTAAATTATTTTATGAATTTAATTTGGAATCTGAGCAATAAGTGTAAAATTGATAAACATTTATTTAATAATTAAATCTATTATTGTAAAACAAATGGTTTCTTATATTCACCAATCAAATCGCGAAATTTAATTATAAATTCGTGGCAGGAAACGACACGCTTCCTTTACACAAATGATATCTTCATGTTTGATATATGCTACAATACATTAATTTAACTCTGACGTTCTCAAACTTGTACCGTCTTATTATAGCAACCCATAGATGAATGAATTTTTAAAATCGGTCCAGAGATTATTCGATACAAACAAACAAACATACTAACAATCAAAATTTTCCTCTTTATAATATCAGTATTGACAATAGATATACATTTATTCAATTTCTCTACTTGTCTTGTTTATTCAATTTTAAAGTTCAATATGCACCTTTCATCTCTATTCGATTCTCAACTCGATATCTAATGCAGCTGAGTCGATTATCGTCAGACACCTAACACTAATATATTACTTTTGTGGCGAAACTATATAGTAACATCATAAACTATGAAACTGTACAGCGTAAACAGACGTTATTCAACTTTATCACTAAACAAATAACGTTTAATTTCCTTTACACAGTTAATTCAAAATTGAAATTTTAAATTATTACATTTGCTATAGACGTCGATGCAAATGGAATGCGTACGAAATAGTATGTTAATAATGACATGTTAGCAATGATTTAAATCTATTTAGCACTAACTGCGGATATATTTAACTAGCTTTCCGATCGCGACTTTTCCCGTGCGGAATCCGTTTCAACCTATTTTTCACGCACGTCAGGTTACCATAATATGCCAATTAATTTGAACAAGGTTTAATATCAAGTGAAGTTTTTTTAACCTACAGTGTTATTTATTGTACAAAAAAATAACTTCCGAATAAACAGTAACTGAAATTATGAAAACTACATTATGTTTCTTAGAGTTCTAACACAGTCAAAACAAGAGTTTATATTGCAGTCTCACTTCTTATTAATATTTTTAACCACTTTTGTGTGTGGATGTGCTCTTGTAAAGTACAATCTTAAACAAATTAAAAAAATGTTGAAAATCAAATATGTCATATTAAAGTCATTTTAAGTACTAGACTAATTATTCTGGTGATTAATATCAAATTACAACTGGTCTAAAATCGCTTAAGTAATAAATTATCTATTATTGTTTACAATACCTAGAAAAAAAATAATTTACCTACATTAATTAATGAAAACTAGTGAAATAGTTCAATGAGCTTATGGAATTGGCGCCCTGGCGCCTTTCTAGTTATAAGTTACAGTTGATAAATCGAAAACGGTAATATAAGCCTTATATAATAATACAATTATCTACTTTGTAATAGTTGTCAGTGTTTCTGAGAAAATTTGGTAATTTTTAATGAACTGGTCAAGTACGAGTTGTATTTCGATACCGCGAGGGTTCGGTACCTACAAAAACATAGAATCTTAGTTGTTTATCTACAGATAAGAAGCAATTTACTGTGTTTAAAAAACTTTAAGAATTTCGCGGTTACCAACGCATACTTCCATGAGACGCTCAGACCTTCAGTCGCTTTGCTTCGGTTATAAAAATATCTATCTATGTAGAGAACATATGTTTGAAGTTCTTATTACCAGCCATATTATTGGATATAGGTATCCATCCATTTTTGCGCCACCGACTTCTATCTAAATAGTGTAGAATTTCTGTTGTACAAACGCCCATTATGGTTTACTAACGATTTAAAATTCTAATGAATGTTCATCATTTGTTTGGTTGAAATGTAAAACTAATGATAATTTTAACACACGTTTGTGAAACTAATAGTCAGTAAAGTAGCTTCGGAATAAACTAACTCTGACAGAATAACGGACGGACTGACAGACACGCTAATGGCCCAAAACAGGCTCCTCATATAATGAGGTGCAGAATCCTAAAAATGTCAATATCAATGAAAAGGTCATTTTTATAAACATTATCATACTCTGGGACTATGATTGTATTTTCATATAATTGAACAGATTGTCAAAGTAAAAATGTAGAATGAATTTTGATAGTTTACTTTATTATTGATAAAATATGGAAAACTTTTGTTGGTCAACGACCGACTGTTACAAAACTAATATGATTTGAAATGACAAAACGCTTATAGTATAATAGTACTCTTTAACAGTAAAACGGCAAATGGCAATATTTCACCAAGAACTAATGGGATCTTGGCGAGGTATCTTTTTACGGTCGTTTTACGAGTTGCCGTGCTAAGGTGTGGCCCTGCTCTTGCTGAGTTATTCAGGCTCTGGTATGTTATTTCAAGACAATTATATTACAAAGAACAAAGACCTTTAGTTTGTAATCGAATAAAAAGTAGAAAACTAGTGTAAGCAATTTATTAATAATTTTGACAAGCATACATCATGTAGGTGCGATCAAGACTTATACAAGTGGGAGATGATGGCACGGTGAGAAGGGTTTATCCAGCACGCTCAGCTTGACGAAGTCGAGAACGTTTGGTCTACATCCAAATGTCACTTTTCTCGGGTGCGTCCATACGATTTCTCACTATCGACCCGAGAAAAGTGACGATTGGTGTGGACAAAGCGTTCTCGACTTAGTCATGGTGCGTGCTGGTCTCCAATCATTCTGATTGGCTAACATTTGTTGCGATTCGTAACCTTCCGCGTTGGTACACACGGCTGCTCGTCAGGCTACCACAATATGTCGTTCCTCTTGATTATGAATTAGTGAATTATAAAGAGTATAGCCTTTAATGCGCTGTTGTATTTACATCAGTGAACCACATCAGCTGTATGTTACCAAACAAAATTTGAACCTCTATAGTATTTTCCTACCTAACAACAACAGAAACAGTTTTAGTTTTGCTAAAATTTTTCAAACAAACTTCCAATTAATTCTTAAAGCGAAGCAGTTAACAGTTCCTCAGTGATGAGCTTATCAAAATCATTTAATTTTTATTTGTTTAGATAATCAATATTACGTAATATATCTTTAAACCAACCCGACAAGCAGATGACCTGTATTTCCTTACCTTGGAAAATACTTTTAAAAAAAATCGCTTGCTCATGATGTTTGGCTTTTTAGGGTTCCGTAACCAAGGGTAAAACGGGAACTCTATTACTAAGACTTCGCTGTCTGTATGTCACCAAGCTGTGTGATAATCTAGTCAGACAGACATAACAAAAAACACTAAAACGCAGAATAAATTAAATATTTACGGGGGCTCCCATAAAACAAATGTGATTTTTTGCTCGTTTTGGGTTTGCTCATTGCGCGCGAGTCCGACTCGCACTTGACCTTTTTTTTCTTACTCTAACTGTTAGAATTTTGTAAGTCGTGCTCACAGCACCTGAACGAACATACGAACGAACGCTCGATAAAACTTGAAACTTAGTCATTCTTTTGTGACTAAATCTCCTCATGTAACGCGAGTCTCCGAGAAACGTCTCAACAGTTTCACAGTTTACATGCAAATGAGTTGCGTTTTA